AAACAATCTCAACCTCCTGGGAAGCATAAAATGCTATAATATGTACTGTCAACTTTTAAAGATATAAAATACTATTTTGATATATCTGTCTCTCTGTTGCGAGTGCTGAAAGATCGTGAGCTTGGTTTCCTTGGTGAGCCACGAAGATCTGTGTATCTTTTAACCTTTTCCGTACGCCCTGGGGTCATTTTGTACACCCGGGGTTGCATTCTTCACAATTTAGAATACTTCTAGTAAAAAGATCTCTTTGTTGAAACTTTCCAAGTAGCCTCTCAAAAAATCATTTTGACCGACTGCTATACAAAGCGTACGAATCGGATTAATGAGTAAATTTCCTCTTTGGAAAGTGGTTGCAGAGAGTTCCCCACGTCGTATGAATACGATAGTAAAACACGACGTATGGATAGGTTTAACGTCAAACGATTCTGTTGAGTTTTACTCGAACGTAAATACGCGTGAGTTGAAGCGTCAAAGTGCTTTTTTGCCCCCGACTGCAACTATGCAACGGTTGTACATGTATTGATTTTTACTAGTATGCAGCGTCAGATGTTTCACATTCACAGCAGTGTAAACCCTTGTGGTATTTAACGGCGTTAAAGTGCATGTACAATAAATCAGGTAGAGCCGATCAACACGCTATGACTATAGGCATACCCAATACAATACTATAATAGTTTTAGTAAGTGTTTTACGGCACTTGCAACACAATAAGGTCATAATATAGAGTTAAGTGCAGAAGATTAGAGGTATTACAAGAGAGTAACAAACACCAAAAAGGAGGGGAGATAAAGACGATAGACGTTTGACAGGAAAGAAGAAGCAAACCACACCAGAGCACCCGCCAACCACCCACAATATTAATATAATAATAACAATGATGATAATACATGTAATATAACCTCAATGAAACAGCATGGAGAACGCAAGAGCTGGTGTGCATGTCATTGTATGATGTAGGCTATTATTAATAGGATGTATTATAATTTGTATTATTTTCCTTTACCCCCTCCTCTGCGCTCCTGACACTTTCTGCAGCCTTTCTACTGCTTCTCCTTGGTTCATAATTACTGCTGTCTTTCAGTCACAACCTTGATCTTATGGCAGGAGAAGATCCACACCTAGCCTTCTCGGAGAAGGGCGAAAAATCTCGGAGGTCCCGTGTGCAAGTTGCGCACTATAAAGATCCCTTGGCGGTCCAAAATCGATAAGAGTAGGCTTCGGCCGCCACCCGAACTACCAACTGAAAAAGTTTGGTGTGTCCCGAGCGCTCATATGAGTATGACCTTATGCAGTTGCGAGCGTCGTAAAACACTAACCAAAAAAACACAAAAACAAAGGTTTATTTGACACCACGACGCACTAACCACGTCCGTCTATTGTTGTCTCCCCGAATACCAGCCATTTGGTCACACGATCATTTCGTCACACCGGTGCAGTCACGACGTCACCGTCATCTCGTCAGACCACAAATCCACAATAGGTTGAATGGAGATGGTCATATCGTAGTAGTACATGCAAACATCAAACACGCATTGTCATGGCAATTGCAAATCACGATTTTAAAAATAATTATTTTTTATTTT